CTCACAGGCAGCCGCCGCTCCCGCCCCAGCATCTGACCCACGGGTCGTTGGTAAAACGAGTCGCTGTACACCAGTCCCCCTCCCACCACCACCAACAGCCACGACACACACGCCACGCCAAGGATGTGGCGCCGTAGCGGGCGATATAGTCGCGACCAGCGGCTAGTCGCTTCCGCGGCCGCGCCGCCGCCGCTGCCGCCTGCGGCGGGAGGTTCGGAGCGGGGGCTTCCGGAAGAGTCGCAGAGCGGAAGCGGCTCGGAGGTGAAGAGGCACCTGGCAGTGGAGGCAGCTAGGTTGAGCAGGAAATTGAGACCCCAGAGGCCGATTATCGAGGCCAGCTGCGCCAGGGGGGGCCAGTCCGCTAGAGCGACGCCGGGCTCGTGGAAATGTCCGATTTGGGTACCCGCGAGGGTGAAGACCGCAGATTGGAGGATGGGAAAAGCCCAAACCGGCAGCACGAGGAGGACGTGGCCCAGGAGGTTGAGGGAAAGGGTCGGCGGGGGCGCGGTCGGGAAGAAGGAGTTGCTGGTGTAGGTGGGTGCTGGGGGAGGTGGGGGGAGCAACTCGGCGGCGAGGCGGCTGAGTCGGGATGCGGGCAGCAGCGCGCAGAGCGTTGTGGAGGCGGCCAGAGCCGTGCCCAGGCCGAAGGTGTCGAGGAGAGAGTAGAGGGTGGTGGAGGGATAGGAGAGGGTGCCGGCGAAGGCAACGGTGAAGCCTAGGGCCTGGGCTAGGATGACGATGACATGGGCAATAAGCGAGGAGCGGAAAGTCCGGATGGAGCCTTCATAGGTAAGCAGGAGCACGAAAGGCTGGAGCCAAACGAGGACTGAGATGGACTGCAGGCTGTTTCCGAATGCTGTGGTTAAAGTCGTTACCAGAAGCAGCCCTAAGACCGACACGGGCCGCGGTCCAGTTACAATTGCAGGCGGACGCATCCTGCAGCTCAGCACTATGTTTAATGTGATTTACAGATTTGTAATTGATAGAGCATGCTGAGTTGCATGTGTTCCGTCATGCGTAGCTAAAATATAGTAGAAACATACTGTTGTAACCAGGCGTGCATTATTATGTGAAAATCAGCCTGATGGATGTGAAAATCCAGTGTTTCGATATTATTTGGTTACGGAGCGCGTCTTAACGACTTGCCAGCAAAGGGGTTACGACATGCTTCTGCAAGCAAAGCAGCAAGGTTGAACATACAGGCGAAGCACACAGTTGAAGCACTGAGAATATGAAGGAACGAGGACAATCGCTTACTAAAGCTTGTCGTGAGTAAGGGCACCAACGGAAATGCAAGAAAGCTAGGCAGGTGCTGATCCGTCATGCTGTATCAATTCGCTGGCAAGTAACATCCAGGGATGCTGAATTAATTTCGCGCAAGATTCACAGCACACGCTCTGTACCTCAAGCCAGGACTGAGGGTCCTGGTGAAGCAGCTGCCCGCGTTTCCAAAGCACGTATGGTGATGTGGAAGGTGCCGAAGTACGTTTGCGAGAAACAGAATGGGGCAAGGCTGGAGAGGAAAGTGCAGTGGCATATTGTAATGTGAGTTTAGTCGAAGCGAGTTACAGGGCGTTTGGCGCACGGCGGAATGTACATGCAGTCTTGTCGTCGCGCGCGTATACAAGAACAAGAACAACAACAACAACAACGCATTTACAGTACACGTCGCGTCGGTCCTCTGCTATGTTGTAGTAACGAAGAATAAGGCATAGGTACAAGTCGTCGCGCTTGGACGGACATGCCAGAACAGGCAACATGATGGGTGAACTCGCACGCTACCAAGCATGCAACCGAGCACGCGACGAGCCGACCTAGAAAGGAGCAGCGCCCCCCCCGAACGCTGACGCAATAGACCATCCCAAGCGCTGGTGTCCGTATGGGCACCAGCCGCAGTTCACACACGAGTCATTGTCGGACATGTATGCAACGTGAAGTGCGATCGTGCCCAAATACAACAGCCACTGCTCAATGTCCAGAAGGCTAGCGCTGAAATCGTCGGACACCGTCAAGTGCCCAGTTGCTGTGTCGGCTTGGCAAGCGTGGCTCGGGCGCCGTCGTCTTGGACTGTCACGGCGGGCGGCGTGTGGGCGCTACCGGCCCGTTGCCGGCTCATCACGTAGAGGCTGGGCTGGCGGAAGGCGGCCTGTGCAGCACATTGTAGCCATCCGGCCCCCGGCTCTTGAACTGCGCAATGTAGAGGGCCTCCATCTTGTCGGCCAGTGCAGGATTGGCGGTGGACATGAGGCGCGTCAGGGTGAAGTGGTCTCCTGGTCAGGGTGAAGGCGTCATCCTTCATCCGGGTGGGTGGGTTGCGGGCATGAGCTTGGAAGCGCCGATGAGGATCCTTGGATTGGCCGACGTACACCCTTCCAGTCGGTGCACACGTGATGGTATACAGTCACGTGCGGGCAGGGGAACTGGAATCGGGCTGGTTGCGGCACGTTTGGATGGCGTGGTGGTGGACAGGAGGGCGCCCGACGCTCACACCTGCTGAGCGGCGGTCTGAGTGCGCGAACTCTTGGTCCGCTTTCAGGATGGTGCCGGCGTCCATGCCGTAATCGTAGATAAGCGCAATGGTGGTATCTGCACGCAGGCTGCCGGCAGCCGTGATCCACAGCTGCATGACTGAAGCGTGTGTGGCCGTCGTTCGGTCCGGCATGTCGCCCTCATGAATCTCCGCCGTCACGTTGTACAAGAACGCTGCATGGGCATGGAGGGCGGGAGGGTGGATGTGAGGGTGGCGGGATGGCGGGGCGGAAGTGGAGGCATGCAGGGGCGGGGCGTGACAGATAAGGATGCTGTGGCCACATGGCAGGGCAGTTGGGAAGCGGGCACGGGGGACAGCAGCTGGTGCAAGCGAGCAATGGGCGGCAAGGTAGGAAGACTTACTGCTGGCGGGCTTGGCGCCATGCTGCGCCTGGAACTCGTCTCTGTGCTTGTGGCCCTCGGCCAGGAGCACGTTGAACTCAGCGTTGGTGTGGTTTGCGCGCAGGACGTCCTCGTCGTGACATCACATGCTTCCCAAGAGCAGTTGCTGCCTGACGGTACGAGGGGCAGCAGCAGGCCGTCTCAAGATGGTGGATGCATGGGACAGCCGGAGAGGAGCGTGGGTGCGCAGCAGGGATGGCATGCGGAATGTTTGGTAGGGTGCGGCGCGGCAAGGCGGCTACTAGTACCGGAAGATCAGGTGCTTACTTGAAGGTGAGCGGCCGTCTCGGCACCCCGGCCGGCGAGGAGCGATCGCGGCCTCCGCCGGTTGGCGACGCCGCTGCTAACTGCGCCCACAGGTCAGCTATGTTGACGGGCGGCTTGGCTGCGGCGCCGGCGGAAGAGCCTGACGGCAGGCTCGGTGAAGGCGTGCCGTAAGCGCCCAAGTTGGTGGGCGAAAGGGTCTGAGGTGGGACTTGTGATTGGCGTGCCATTTTCGGAGGCATGTTGTGCGAGGTTACAACAGCAGAGCAGGTGTCAGCGAAGCGAAAGTCTGGCTGGCTGCCGGCCGTAAAAGGGAGTTCGGTCTATGAGCAAAAAAATGGAAACAGGAGAAAAACATTCTCGCGGCCGGTGAAAGAGCCAGGTACGATGCCGCGACTTGTATAAATGCCAGCCTGTGTCGCCTTCTTTTTCATACATTCTCCTGTTTCCATTTTTTTGCTTACAGACCGAACTCCCTTTTGCGGACGGCAGCCAGCCAGACTTTCGCTTCACTGACACCTGTTCTACTGTTGTAACCTCGCACAACATGCCTCCGAAAATGGCATGCCAATCACAAGTCCCACCTCAGACCCTTTCGCCCACCAACTTGGGCGCTTACGGCACGCCTTCGCCAAGCCTGCAGCAGCCGCAGCAGCCAAGCACCGCAGCCAAGCCGCCCATCAACATAGCTGACCTGTGGGCGCAGTTAGCAGCGGCGTCGCCAACCGGCGGAGGCCGCGATCGCTCCTTCGGCCGCTCACCTTCAAGTAAGCGCCTCATCTTCCGGTACTAGTAGCCGCCTTGCCGCGCCACACCCTACCGAACAGAACGCATGCCGTCCCTGCTGCGCACCCACGCGCCTCTCTGGCTGTCCCATGCATCCACCATCTTGAAACGCCCTGCTGCTGCCCCTCGTTCCGTCAGGCAGCAACTGCTCGTGGGAAGCATGGCATGTCACGATGAGGACGTCCTGCACGCGAACCACACCAACGCTGAGTTCAACGTGCTCCTGGCCGAGGGCCGAAAGTACAGAGACGACTTCCAGGCGCAGCACGGTGCCAAGCCCGCCAGCAGTAAGTCATCCTACCTTGCTGCCCATTGCTCGCTTGCACCAGCTGCCGTCCCCCGTGCCCGCTTTCCAACCGCCCGGCCATGGATTTGGATGGCGTGGTGGTGGACAGGAGGGCGCCCGACGCTCACGCCTGCTAAGCGGCAGTCAGCACCGAGTGTGCGAACTCTTGGTCCGCTTTCAGGACGGTGCCGGCGTCCATGCCGTAATCCCACCACGGTCGCCAGCAGAATGTCAGGTGTGGGCACATCGCGTGGCACCCGCGGCAATGGGAGCATGACGCACACAGTCCAGACACGTTGCATGGGCATCGGCACGACAGCACAGCCGCTAAATCTACACGTGCCCAACTGAAGACATTCCCGGTGGTTGTGCAGCAGCTCTTGCGCCTGTTGCTGGCTGAAATCCATCCTGAGCTGTTGCAACACGGCTGACGCGGGCACGGCCCTATGCACAGCAAATAGCTGTTCCAAGCCAACAGCGGCGTCCATGTCACCGACAAGGCTCTAAACGTCTTATCTGTTCTTATGTTTAATTAAGTTTATGTATGTTATACTTTGCGCAACTTTGTAATTTGACTTTACTCTGAACAAGGTGCTGCATACAACTGCCTCTTCCCCAGCGCTTCATCTTCCGCGGCAGTTTCACGAGCCCAGAGTTGCAAGCTACGACGTTGGCTTTCGGTGCTTTTAGTTACTGCAAAGCATCCACGCAATAGTCCAGCCTGCATGCCGCGTGCGGCTATGGCCAACATGCCGTCGCACAAGCGCGCTGACACACCGCGACTTTTCGCCAAGAAAATTTACATACACTTGTACAGGCGCGAGGAAAGTGCAGTGGGATATTGGAATGTGAGATTAGCGTAAGCGAGTTACAGGGCGTTTTATTGCACGGGCGAATTTACGTGCAAATCTTTCACTGTAGCATCAGTCGTCAGTTCACTTCTTGGAACGAACATCAGCATAGGTCCAAGCCCTCTCGCTTGGAGGGATATGCAAACAAACATCCTGATAGGGGTAAACTCGCACGCTACCGAGCATTCAACCGAGCACATGCATGCTTAGTTGAATGGTACTGTTTTATTCGGCACAGTACGACCGGACACATTTGTGCGAGGGGCTGCTTAACAAGCAAAGCCAGCCACGCGCTCACACGCACAAAAAAACAAAAATTCAAGTCCTGCTATTTCAGGCATCCTAAAATATTGCATGCCCAAGCCGTCCGTGACGCTGTCTAAGCTACGCACAGCCAGCCCAGCCACAGGCGCACGTCCCATCCTCCCCCGTTCATCATCAAGCAAATGAATTATAAGGCGATCTAAATCCACCTTCTACTTTACAGGACACACATATATACATGTGTGGATTTAGATCGCCTTATAATTCATTTGCTTGATGATGAACGGGGGAGGATGGGACGTGCGCCTGTATATATATATACATATATACATATATATACATATATACATATATATATATACATATATATATACATATATATATATACATATATATATACATATATATATACATATATATATATATATACATATATATATATATATACATATATATATATATATATATATAGATTACAGCCTGTAGGCCTTCAGCACTCATCCTCGCGTGCACAGCTCCTCCCCAACAGGCGACGTAATCGTCATCCGCTCCCACCGCGCTGCCAAACCCAAACTCCCTGGGGTTGGACACTCGGTGCTCACCGCATCCTCAACGGTGTTATAGGCGGCGGCGGCGGCAGCGGTGGTGAAGGCAGCAATAACGACGGCGGTGCCCTTATACGCACCTTCCTACACCGCACTGCACAGTGCGGCACCAGTACGGCACCAGTACGGCGCCCAATAAAATCATCATTCAAACACCCGCCATTAGTAGGTGGTGACCACAGCGGGTGCTCCCCCCCCTCCCCCTAGCGCCCCCCACCAGATGGGTCGATGTGCCCATGCAGCCTCCTGATGCCGCCTCTCCTTCCTCTCCAGGCCGACTCCTTCCCAACACCGCCCGGACTCGCTACCTTACCCGTCTGTCCCTTCAGCTATCCCTTCAGAGGACACCCGTTCCGCGTTTCGCGTTCCGAGCTTGTGTTCGTGTTGTGTGTTGGGTTCGCGTGTCTTCTCTTTTTTTAAAACACATTCCCTCCCCCCCCCGCCCCCCCATTCCTACTTCCACCCGCTCTCCCCCACACACACTCCTCCCCTTTTTCCGCCAGTCCTGCCATCACAATCATTCACGGCTGCCATCTGCCTGGACTTAAACTGCTCCCAACCGCCAACCGCCACGGCAGAGTCCCGTCCACCGCGCGCTCCACCCGTAACCGACTGCCGTACACGTCGTACGTGCCGTACTCCAGCTCGCACATCTCGTCCAGCCGCCGCGCCTCTTCCTCTGACAGCTCCGGGCAGGAGACCACCACCACCGCCGCCGGGACGGCTCTGTCAACACCACCACCCGCCGCGTGCATCTGCGGCTGCGGCTGGTTCGCGGGGGAGGAGACCTCCACTGCACCGGCCCCTGTCTTTTCCCGCGAGCCGCCCGTCGCGACCCACCCGTTGCTATGGCTGCTACTGCCACTGCCACTGCTGCTACATCCGTTGCTTTCTCCTCGCAGACAGCTGCTCGTCCCCCTGTGCCCCCTGTGCCCCCCCGCCCCCCTGACGGTGTGGAGCCGCTCCAACAGGGCGGTCACCAGGCTGGCAGGGTAGGCGGGGCCGCGCCTCTCCCGCGCCTCCGCAGCCACCCCCAGCAGCACAAACCTGCGCAACCCAGCCCACCCACCCCAACCCCCCGAAGGTCGTGAGAGATGGTGGCGGGTGGTTGTTAAGAGACAAGGATTGGACAGGAGGCGAGGACTTACGGAACGGCCTACGTGAGTCCTACATACATACATACTGGCTGACTGGCTGCATGCCTACCTACCTACCTAGCCCGGGGTTGCTTGGATGCTTGATGTACGGACTGCGTTGGATGCTCAATGTATACGGATGATTGCACGGCAATGTACGGCAAATTCATGCATGTAGGGTGGTCCATCTCCTCACCTCCCTACCCAATCCCAGCCACACCTCCCCCTTCCCCTCCACCTACCTACCCACCTGAGTCGCGGCATATCCGCCAGGCAGGTAATGTCCCATGGGTCAGTGTTGAGGCGGTAGAGCTCCAGGTGCTGCAGGAGAGGCAGTGAGGTCGCCACCGCCGACACAATCTACACAACCGCAGAAAGGGGTTAGGTGGAGGGGATGAGGGGGAGAGGGGGGAGCCTCGTGTTAAGGACTGGACGGCAGGCAGCTCAGGAAGGAAGCAGGCGTTCGGGAAAGAGGACGAGCATGAGGACGAGCATGAGGACGGGGGCCGAGGGAAAGACACAGCCCCTCCTCCCCCTCCCCCCTCCCCCTCGCCCTCCCCGGCTCAAGGGCTCGGTTGGAAACAACCCCCCAAAGGCCGTACCTACCTGCGGACCCATCATGGTACCGCTGCCGTACAAGTACGTCGGCAGTAGCGCCAGCGACGTCAGCGCCGGACCCACCTCCGCCGCCGCCGTCACCACCTCCGCCCAGTTGCCGCCCAGCCGCAGCATCAGCCGTACCTCCTGTACGGCCCCTCTGGCGGCGGCAACGGCAGGAGCGGAGCCGGAAGCAGATGGCTGCGCCGCCGTCGTAGAGGCTGCAGCTGCAGGGGGCGGTGCCGTACTCGTTTTCCGTACGAAGCGCGGCAGTAGCTGCACCATCTGTAAGGTGCACGGCGTCGACAGCTCCAATAGCTCCAGCTCACCGCCACCACCGGTACCTCCGACTCCGCCGGCAGCGTCTCCAAGACAACCGCCAAGGCTGCTGCAGCCGCCGCCGCCGCCGCCACCGCCGCCGCCGCCGGCAGCTGCGCGCGTCCTAGCGGAACTCAAGCCGCTTCCCTCTTCCGCGCCGCCCTCGCCTGCTCCCCCGCTACCACTACCGCCGTCACCGCCCCTGGCCCGGGCTGCCACTGCACGGCCCGCCATCACTCCGGCTTCCACTGCCGTACACCCACCGCCGCTGCCGCCGCCGCGTTCCATCTCCGTACCCAGCAGTAGTGGCAGCAGCGCCTCCAGGTAGCAGGGCATAGCGGCGCTTAGCGCAAGACGTCGCCAGTGCCGTACAGGTGACGTCACCGCTGGCCCCGCCGCCAGCGCGTCGTGGCCCTCCCGTCGAGGGTCATCCACGCACACAGCACGGATCGACGTCGCCGACGGCGTCTTGCCGAACGAGCCGTGCGTCGCCGGCGGCCGCACATCCGTCGCCGGCGCTGCCGCTGCCGCGGCGGCGGCGGCGGCGGCAGCGGTTTCCGGGCTGAGTATGGCGGAGCCCAGCGCCAGATCGGTGAGTCCAGTGAGGCCCGCCAGCGCCCGTACAAAATCCGGATGCGACTTGTCGTACAAAAAGGCCCGCGGCATGTGCAGGGCAGTTAGCCCCGTGAGGCGTGTGATGACGTGGCACAACAACCACCCCGCGGACCAGAGGTTGGATCCGCTCCCCATCTGGAGTGGGGAGTGTGCGGGGGGCGGGGGGGAGGGAGGGGAAAGACGAACCACGAACGAGTAAAGCTGCTGCCAAGGAAAGAGTGCTGCGGCGGATGTACGGGAAGGGAGGGTGGGAAGGGAACACACACACACACACACACGCACACACACATACACACGCACACACCTGCATGAAGTCGAGCCCCAGCTGCCGCAGTCCCCGCATCTCTCCAAGTCCAGCAGCCGCCAACTGCTGCTCGCTGTACGACATCTTGTGCTCCAGGGTTAGGACCAGCCGGGTCAGGGCAGTGAGGCGGGCCAGGGGAAGATGGGAGAGTACGACAGAGCCGGCGGGGGCAGAGCCGGCGGAAGACGGGCTGGGAGTTCTGGGCAGGGAGGGCTCCCGGGTGGCCAGAGAGGATGCGGCGGCGGCGGAGGAGGAGGAGAAGTCCCCCAGCATGAGGGCCGCAACCCCCGTAAGCTCCAGGGCGGCCAGGTGGGGGAGTCGGGAGATGGCGGCCAGGACCAGCTGACCGAGTGGGGGGGCGGGAAGAAGGGGAGAGGAGGGTGCGCGTGCGGGTATGCGTTAGTCGTACATCACTGAGAAACTCGAAAAGGCGGGGGAAGGGGGAAACTTCCTCAGGAAGGGGGGGGGAGACACGACACCCGCCCCGGAGGGTGAAAACACACCGCACCGGCAAGCACACGCCAGGGCGCCACAACACCGCACACCGGTTCGAGACCCACCTCCTCAGGCTGGACAACCGCGGGCCCCCGGGAGAGAACCCTCGCCCGCCACCTCACCTCGCCCCCTCACAAACTATGCTCGTATGTTCCTCTTCCCCTCTTCCCCCCCAAAGCGCCTTTCCCCACCCCCCCAAAACACACACACACATATTCATGCACACGTACGGCTTACATGCGGTTCCAGAATCAGCTGTGTGTCAACCACTAACTCCCGGAGGCAGGAGTGAGGGCAACGACCTAACGGCTCCAGGGAGCTACCAGACAGGTAGTTATTGTACGGCAGTCCTGACAGGTGCAACCGCTCCAGGCGGGGGTAGCTGGTGACGACGTGGTGCAGGTCGCGCGCCGACAGCTCCTGCCAGCCCTGAACGATAAAATGAAAACGTGTGTGTACGGCATCGTGTACGGTATTGTCGTAACAGCTTACTTCTCCACCTTGACCTTTCTCCTCAGGATTTTCATAACATCCTCTCCTGATTCAACCTGGTGGGATGCTGATGTTGTAACCCAGATGCCCCCGTACCTGTAACGATAACGACCTAACGGACATCGCAACACCCAGCTCCGACAGAAAATACGACATGACTGCCGTACTGCCGTGCCAGCCTGACTCCGTCGCCCCTGCTCCTGGGCCGCCGTTGCCGCTACCATCCGCCGCCGCTACCGCCGCTGGACCACTCGCCCCTCCGCCTCCACCTCTATCGTCGTACTCCTTCCGTACAGGCGGCAGCAGCTTAAGCTCCAGTGACGTCGGGTACGGAAAACGCTGGTGAAGAGTACGGCCTGCTGTGGTGAGTTGTAGCAGTGAGGTACGGCAAACGAGCACCTGTAGGAGAAGACGGGACGGAAGGGGGGTTGGATGGGGGGAGGGAAGAAAAGGAGAGGGAATGGGAGGGAATGGGAGGGAATGGGAGGGTGGATATGGATTAAGTGGGCCTGCCAGGAGGAACCATCCAGATCCACCAGGGCGTAGGGATCTTGACCACATAAGGGATTTAAGGGGATTCTATAACAAAACCTGGAAATTTGAATTCGAGGCTGTGCCCTAGGGCCCTATGCAGGCTCGACTTGCCTTAAGGTGCGTCAAGAGCTCTGATGCCACGTACTCCGCAGCCCCGCGCCCCGCTAGCCGCAGCTGCTTGCGGTCACGCCTGGGAATTTGGCTCCAGATGTGCTTGGCTAGCAGGTCAGCGGGCAGCAGCTCCAGGAGGCCGAGGCATTGGGGCGATGGCTCGGTCGGCAGCGGGGTGCTGGTGCGCTGCGGCCGTTCGGAAGTAGCCTGATGTGAGTTGCCATCTACAATGCTGTAATCTTCGACTGATATGGTGCCGTGCATGCCACTGGGGGTGCTGGGAAGGCTGGGTGCCAATGGGCTGAGTAATAGTGAGAACTACAGGCGCATTTTTATCCAGAAGCACTAGGGTATGAGCAAAACTGGCGTATATAAAAGCGTAGTAGAATCAAAGATATTAGCTATAACGTGATGATTCACTTGGGTCGCGCAGCGCCACCCAAAACGGGACAGAGGAGGTTGGGTTTGATTTGAAGTAATCTACATGTGCGGCATTCTAATATGCACATGGTAACCGAGTAACTTTTGTGCAAATTGTGCTGGCAGATCGAACTGCGAAGCACCCAGCCAACCAACCCCCGCGTCGTGCAGAAAACGGTCGTTCGTTGTCGCAGTAACCAAAATACGTTTTTGCTATATTAGTATTTTTTGCGTACCGGAGACTTTAATTTACTATTTGCAGCCTACGTTCCTGAGCTCCGAGCTATCTTACAGGCATGAACAGCGACGAGCAGCATTCGCAGCCATGTATAGCCGATCAGCCTCGTGGCCATGTTCCCTGGGGGATTATTTTAGATAACGTGTGGGCGCACCTTCGACCTGCAGAACGCGCTGCAGTTGTGGAAACATGCAAAGAGGCATTGACAGCCGTGAGGCAAAGGCTTCTGACACACGTAGGCCTTTATGTCTCGCGCAAATTGGCGATGTCCTTCATGTCAATTGGCTTCCAACCCCTGAAGGTAGGTGGTGCTGTCTTCAATCGCGCCGTGGCTTATCATGGTGCTTTTCTCAATCGCTAGAAGCAATGCCTAGCTCTCGGCACTAGATAACCTCACGGAAAACTATATCACTCTCGCGCGCCCAAGTCCTATCTTTTCCCCTCTTGGCCCCACCCTGCTACCGTCTGGCTTGGCCCCACACAACCACCTGGAGTTAGGCCAGCCAGCCACGATACCAAGTCAGCTCTTGGTAAAGCTAAACCCCCTAAGACCCCAAGCACACAATAGGGATACATACGCGCAATCTCCGCTGTCCCATGCAGTCCCGCTTCCCCTTCGCCAACCGGCTGACTCTACGGTTGGATCCGGAGTTCCTAGAGGACGTGGACGGCTCCCCCCCGTCCGCCTCCTCCTCCTCCGCCACCTCTGCCGAGGAGCGTACCCGGGTTGGCGGCGGTGTCATTGCGAGTATGGGCCTACATGACGGCATCACCAGCTGCAGATTGGACTGTAAGAAGGGGAAGAGAGGAGAGGGCGCCCATGTGCATGTGTGCTTGCATGTGTGCTTGCATGTGCTTGCATGTGTAAAGTATCTTTCACTCATTCACTCACTCCCGGTGTGTGTTGGCGTCGTTTTGGCTCCCTTATCATTCCGTCCCCCCTTCCCTCCTCTCCCCCCTTCCCTCCTTCCTCCTTCCCCCATCCGTTCCCCCCCCCTCCCCTCCCCTTTCCCCCCTTTCCGGCAGACTGGGACTACCTGCCCCAGAGCTCCGTGTACAGCCTGCTGACCGCCCTGCCCTCCCTGGAGTGCCTGGAGGTTAATCAGGCCTACCGACTAGACCTGGATGCGCTGCTGCTGCCGGGCCTCACGGGCCTTACCTCGCTGGTGGTGGGTTGCCGGCGGGCCCCGCGTGGGGGAAGGGAGGGGAAAGGGAAGGGGAAAGGGAAAGGGAAAGGGAGAGGGAAGGGGACCTGAGTAATAGTTACAAGATGCAGATGAAGGTCGCGTCGTGGAGCCCTTGGAGGGTTGTTTTGTTGGTCTATGTGGAGCTCAAGGCACCCACCCTGGGGGAGGGGGGGGTCCCTGAAACGGTAAAGAAATACCCTTACCCCCCCCATGGTCCCTCCCCGCCTTCAAGAACGCCTACTGGTCAGTTCTGCTTCTTGTACATTCTTTCCTTGGCGGCAGCTTCACGCGGGTTCGTGGTTCCCCCTCCCTCCCCCTCCCTCCCTCCCTCCCCGCCTCCCCCCCTCCACTGGCAGGCCAACGCGGACTACATCCTGATGGCACCTGACATCTTGAGGTCTGCGCCCGTACTGACACACCTGAGGGAACTTAGATTGAGCCAACTGCAGGTGCTTGGGACAGAGGGGATCCTGCGTGTCTTTTCGTGTCTGTGTGTGCTTGGATGGGGGATAGGGGCAAGTGGTTCATGTGTTGTATGAAGAGCCCATTCCGTCGGACCTTCTGCGCCCACCTCTTAAATTCGTATTCGATCTCTTGCCATGCCCGCTGCCGTATACTCCGCCTCCGCACGAAACCCCCAACCCCCCACCCCAACCCCAACCCCAACCCCAGGTTAACGACCAGCCTGCTGACAACCTGCTGTGTCAGGCCCTGGGCTCCCTCACCGCCTTGACGCACCTGGAGCTGGTCACGATTAGGTGGGGGGAAGGGTAGGGGAGGGCAGGGAAGGGCATGTATGTATGTATGCATGCATGTATACCAGCTCAAGGGCAGGGAAGGACAGGGAAGGGCGAGGGAAGGCCACGGGGGCCACGTATGCATGCATGTATGTATGTATGTGTGCCGGGAAGAGGGTAATGTGAGCGGGCCGCGCGCCAATCGACAGTCAACCCTTTGCACCATCCATGTCATTCCCTCCCTCCTTTTCCCCCCTTCCTTCTCCATTTCCCCCCACCCCTCTCTCCCACCCCACCCCACCCCACCCCAGTGCCGCCACCCGCCAGGGCCTGGTGGCTCTCAAGGGCATCCACAGCGAGACCCTCCGTCCGCATCCGCTGGCTCGTCTACCCGCCTACCTGCCCGCCCTCGGCCGCCTGCGCCATCTGGAGATCAGTGACGAGCACCTGGAGCGGCGGACCGCCAACGCCATTCTGGGGGCCCTCACGGCGCTGACGGAGCTGGAGGAGCTCGTCATGCCGGAGGCGAGGGTGGGTGGCTGGGTGGGTGGCTGGGGCCGGAGTCTGGGGGGTGGGGCTGGGTGTGGATGGGGTT